CCCCAGGAGTGGCATCTGCATTTTAATTCTTAATCCAGGATAAATGTAGATGTCTATGGGCTACAGCATCCACTTACCATCAGGGGGACTGCGTGCTCGCTTGTTACGCCATGTTAAACAAAATATTCGCGTTAATAATTTTAGTAAGCCTAAATTAGTAGATGCGTCAACATCAGTTTAGTTATTCACCAGATACGTAAAAAATAAACCTTATATGATAGTACTTAAACATTGACACACTTTGCATCGGTAAAAAACGGACAGTATAAGCAACAGAAAACGGAAGTCTTCTATATTTACAAATACCTCATGGTTTTAATATTTCACATCGTCACCTCGGAGACCTTAGATGCAAGCCTTTTCGCCTGTTATTATATTGGTGCTCTATACTATTTAAATGGTTGAATCCGGTCAGGTAGAGTTTGGTGTTATAGCCTAGTGTTATTTTGGTTAGATTAGATTGTTTTTATTTTTAATGCTAAGTTGAATGAACACAAATAAACGTTTGTATCACGGAAGTAATGTTTACGGAAATGATAGTTTCTAGCCGAGTCTACAGTGAGACGATAGTTTCCTGCTGTCCCACTACCCGACACCGTAGGGTTGCTATAAATTTCTTATGTAACCTTCACAATCACTGCCTGATACTGTCTATCTAATGAGTTATATAATGCAGACTAGTTTTGTTCCTTCGTTATTACAATCACGTTCATATTTATATTGAAACAAGTGGTAAAATTAAAATTTACGTATAACCGATTTCAATATAAAAAAATTATTTATTGTTGATTTTTTTAAAACTGATCCACCGATTTTGATAAAATTTAAATGTGACCGCTTGGGAAGCATACCCTTTGAAACAAAAAAAAGAATTTTCGAAATCGGTTCAGGCGTCTTAGAGTAATCGGTGAACATACATAAAAAAAACCTAAATTAAACGCGGGCGAAGTCGCGGGAAACAGCTAATTATATAATAAAATAAGACCACAGTGTGTGTATGTGCTTCCTCCACATAAATCGTAGACAAATTAAACCTGCTATACAAAAGACTTCAACGCGTCGTTTTTTGTACTCTTTTCTAGAAAGATTGGATATATTAAAAAAATTCTGCGACTTACTTTTTTTCACAATAAATGTTTTAATATATAAATACACTATGAACGACAAAGATTATTATAATTATTATTAAATTTATTAAATATATTTCATAATTTGGGCACGGACCTTCCCAAAAGTTCTGTAGTCACTTTGCACATTATACTCTCGCAGATCGTACTTTTTAACCGACTTCAAAAAGGAGGAGGTTTTCAACTCATCGGAATCTTTTTTATGTATGTTCACTGGTTACTCGAAGACGCCTGAATTGATTTGGAAAATTCCTTTTTTGTTTCAATGGCTATATTTATCAAATGGTCCCATATAAATTTGATCAAGGTCTAACTAGTAGTTTTTGAGTTGTCCTTAATAATTTATATTGAAGTCGGCAGTACAAAGTTTTTAATTTGACCACTTTTGGATGATTTGATCACGGAAATCGCATAACATGACCTTATGATTGATGATTTTGGTTAAGTTATCTCAGAGACGTCAGACACAAAAAAATTGCAAGAGGAATTTTTATCATTTAGTTTTTTGTTATCATTACCTCATAATTATATATTATAATTCATCATCATCATCATTACAGCCCTACACAAGTCCATTGCTGAACATAGGCCTCCCTCAAGGAATGCCACAAAGCACGGTCCTAAGCCACCTGCATCCATCGACTTCCTGCATGTCTTACCAGGTTGTCACTCCATCTAGTGGGGGTCGCCCTACACTTCCCCTACCGGAACAGGGTTGCCACTCCAAAACCTTTTTTCCCCATCGGTTTTCGGTTTTTCGAACTCTATTATAATTAATAATATCTATATATAACTTAGATGTTTCACATAAATATCAACCTAACATTAATTTAGATAAAATAATAAGAAAAACGCCTACTATACTTCTACTTCATCCATTATTAAATATTATGTTAATTTCCACTTTTGCTTTTTATGTGTCTATTAGTAGCAGCACAAAAGTACTGTATTAAAAATTATCAGTCTAAGTAACTCTACGTAAGCCAATAAAAGAAATGCCCAACATTGTTTTAAAAATGGATATGACTGAATTCTTTAGTAAAATTTCATTTTTACATTACTTTCATAGTAAAATTGTAATACTTAAAATAGGGTTTGCAGTCTGGCCAGTGAAAGTGTGTGAATAAACATTGCGAGCGTGCACCACACCGCTGTTATGTCAAATACGATACTTAATTACATTGCGCATTCTACGCAATGGTTTAACACTCGAATTTTAATTTTTAGATAAATTATATGTGTTATTGCTAATTACTATATTATCTTATTTATTAGTACTTTACTATCAAATTTATATATCTAAGGGTAGACAGAGGCGTTTTCAATGATAGACCAATTGGCATAATTGTAAAGTTAAGTAAGCGTATTAGCGAGTATACAACTGATTCGTTGCACTCATAATACCGGTTACCATCTGTTGGATATATCGAATGATACATCCATTATGTATATATCAGTAACATAAAATATAGTGTTTTTTTAAAGGATAGAGTGACAAACGAACACACAGTCCACCTAATGGTAAGTGGTTGCTGTGACCCATAGACATCTACATCTATCCTCAATAAAGAATCAAAATGCAGATGAGTCGTCACCCGTGAGGACTAAGATTGAATGCCTTGTTTCCAATAAAAAAACGTCACCGGTTCTCTACACTCACCATACGAAACACAGCAGTGTCAAGCCGCCGTTTTACGCTGGTATTCTGTGAGAGCGTGGTCCTTCCCCGGTCGAGCCGACCCATTCGTGCTACAACCATAATATAGCTGCAGCATGGCTCTACCACGTATATAAAATGGTGGCGTAAAATAATTCTTTTACCCTACTTTGTAAGGAGTGACATTTCGATACGCCAGAAAATGTTATGGATATATAAATTTATTGCTTCCAATAAATGGCGGTATTACCGTATTGAATTTTTTAACATATAATAATATATATGTTAAAAAATTCAATTATTTAATCTTAACATACAATACAACATACTGTAGACCAAATTTCGGTCAATGCAACCAGTCTCAGAAATTCTTATAAATCGATGGACCAGGATCAACGGCTTTACGTGCTTTGGTGATGAAGCACCATCAAATTTTTGACTTTGGGCTGCTACTGATATGTATTATACCAGTGTAAAATAGCAGCTTAACGCTGCTGTGTTTCGTATGGTGAGTGTAGAGAACCGGAGATCCTTTTTACTGGAAACGAGGCATTCCATCTTAGTCCTCGCGGGTGACAACGCATCTGCATTTTGATTCGTAATCGAAGATAGATGTAGATGTAGATGGACCACAGCAACCACTTACCATCAGGTGGACTGTATGCTCATTTATCACCCTTATCCTATAAAAAAATTCTTGACAGAAAAACTGAATTTGGCCCGACCCAGGTTTAAAACCCGGGACCACATGATTACTAGTCAGACTTACGATCACTAGATGAATGAGGTAGTAGACTTCTGTTCTTCTAGACGTAAAATACTCAGACGAGCAGCATTAAATATGCGAGACGTCGAATAATCTGCGATCGCCAATCCGTCTACCAATCAAAAAGTCAAATTCTTCTCTACAATGGGAGAGGCCCATGACCAATGGACTTTTACGGTCATGTAACGAAGAAGAAAGATATCAATAAAAAATTGCCTGATCTTCAATCCTCACGTTCCGAACACGCAGTGACACTGCTGCATCAGGTTTAAGGTGTTAGGAAATTTTGGAAACTATGCCTATAACCTATAACTTTATTTAAACATGTTAAAATAATTAAAGTAAAAAATAATTAGCTACGATCGTAATAAAATAAAACGATGTGCCTTATCTAGTTTGAAGAGCACCTCCCGCCCTTCCTCAATTGCGTGCACTGTTCCCGTCACCACTAATCCCAGCACCACTACACTAGGAAAGACACACCACTGTCAATAATACGTGTTTCGCCTCTATACGAGGTATCCTCAGGTGATGTAGACTCTGCGGTGGCTGACCGCTAAGTCTAGTTTTTCAAGCATTTTTTTAAACATTTTTAATATTATGAATTTCCTCAAAGTAACACATGATTCTATTAATCATTATTTTAATTCAAAAGCGACAGTCAGTCCTGATATAGAATTGGTATACTCGTATTTGTCTTTTGACAATCGCTAGTCTCGTTCATTAATTAGCAGACGGCATGGCAATTTTTTTATATGATTGATGATTTGTTATATAGCCCCTAAACTGTCAACCCTAGCTTTATTTGTTTATTTTTTTATTGGGTACTTAATCGCAATTTCAAAGATGTAATAATATGTTGTATATTAATAGACTCCACTCATGCTGGCTGTATTACTTATATAGGGAAGGACGATTGTGTGCCTTCGTTAGTACGTAAACGTATGGTACCTACCATATCAAGTTATGCGCAAATAATAGCTTTATGCAGTATTCGGAAGACGGTGTTGTAGTCAATGTCTATCAAAAGAAATTCATCGTTTCTGTTTCTAAACCACCCTAGGCTAATTGCGATATAATTTTGCGCAAGTAAATTAATGATTATTATGGACTTGTGGCTCAAAATTATTCAAATAGATATAAAGAACGCAAATATGAAATCGTTCATGGGTAAAATATGAATACACGAACATATTATGAAGTATAATATAAGAAACTATTAAACATTTTCAAAGTGATAGTCCTCAATGTAAAAACGTAAATTTTTCTAGATTAAAATTGTGTCTCATATTGGAAAATCAATAATTAATATTTCTACATTTAAATTTAATTTAATTGTACTTTTATATTAAGTATTTAATTAGAATAACAATAACGAAGTGTGTGGCAAGATTTATGAGTAATTTAAAACTACAGTGAATCAGAGACCAAGACTATAAAGTGCGAGAAGATGCGTTTTCGTTGGTGGGGGGCAGTGGTGTTGTGTTATTTTGTTTTAGTGTTGCGCAGTTATGCACTACCACCGGCTGCACTCGGTGACGTAGTTGCCAATGCTGCCAACCACCTCAACACAATGAAGGTAAGAAAATTCATTCTTTTAAAAAGGAATAAATCCCACTAATTTATGTACTATATAGAAATAATACCACCATGTGTGTAAAATCGTAAGCGGCGACAGAGGTAAACTGAAACAGGAGATGGGCGGCAGCATCTTCCTGTTAGTAACCCAAATAATAAAAAAATGCTGCAGCCAACACATCTGCCAAGCGTGACAACTATGGCAAAAACCCCTTTATGAGGCAATCTCATCAAATACAGGAAAGGTCAATTAATTACGCATGTTGTTTACGGGGCAGGGGGGGGGGGGGAATATCGCCCAATCTCACGTGGGAGAGAGGGAGAGTCTCGGCAAATATCACGCAATTTTTTCCCGCATGATAAAGTGTAAAGTTTTGAGAAAATTGAGTTAAGTAAAATATGGCTAAATTCAGCACAATAATATTTATCGCAGTTACGCGAACTCCACAAAATATATATATAAATAATTAAGCAAATTATTTTTTTTATTTAATAAATATCACGAAATTTCACACAGGGGGAGGGCAAGGGTAGAAATTAGTAATTAATAGAGACCCCCAAAGTCATAAATTATAAATAAGGAAACCGAACATTGCATTGCTCTTACGAAAAGGTAAGCCGAAATGAAGGACAAACTTAATATTACGGTCGATAGTTTTTTCTTCGATAATTTTTTTAATCTTTTATGGTTTTCGGATTTTTCCCTTAACTTGTGCTTAAAAACACCGCTTTTTATCAAATTTCGTGATTGAATCATCGGGAAGTACCTCATAGGTTTTGATAAATGAGTTCACGATTTTTTAAAAAAAATGTAATATGCGAGGGTGGATTGAAAAGTACTCAGCCTAACCAAGAAAATAAACACATACTAAATCAGTTATATTTTTATTTTTCTACATAATCGCCATCAAGTTCAATACACTTTTGCCACCTCCCCTTCCAAGCATTTAGACCGTTGAAAAAAAATGATTCTTCCTTAGAGTCAAAATATGCGTCTACAGCTGCTTTGACCTCGTCGTTTGTCGAAAATCTTTGACCTCCCAAGTGCTTTTTTAGGTTAGGGAACAGAAAGAAGTCTGATGGTGCCAGATCAGGTGAATACGGCGGATGCGGTAACAGTTCAAAGCCACAGTTGTGAATTTCAGCCATTGACTGTACTGACGTGTGAACACGGGCGTTATCTTGATGAAACAGGACTTTTCTTCTGAGCATTCCTCGACGTTTTTCTTTTATTTCCTCTCGTAAACGACGTAGTAAGGTGCAGTAGTAATCAGAGTTTATATTCTGACCCCTTTCAAGATAATCAATCATAATCACACCTTTCGAGTCCCAGAATACTGAAGCCATCACCTTATTTGCCGACAAAATCGACTTAGCCTTTTTAGGGGGTGGTGAACCAGGTCTTCTCCACTGTTTTGATTGTTGTTTTGTTTCCGGTGTACAGTAATGAACCCATGTTTCGTCCATAGTAACAAAACGATTCAAAAAATCATCTGCATCGGCTTCAAATTACTCCAAACAGTCGCGTGAAATAGTCCTTTTTTGTTCAACTGAAAGCAGTCGCAGAACCCACCTCGCAGACACCTTTTGGAAACCCAACTCGTTGACAATGATGTTTTGAGTTCGTTCATAAGAGATGCCTATAATCTCGGCTATCTCTCTAATTTTTAATCTGCGGTCTCCCATTATTAAATCAAGTACTTTTTTAATATTTTCGTCAGTAGTTGACGTCGAAGGCCTTCCAGAGCGGGGTTCATCTTTCACACTCTCTCTACCACGCTTAAATTCTGCTATCCATTTTTGACGGATGAATATGACAGAGCACAATCGCCTAATGTACTGACCATGTCATCATGGATGGCTTTTGATGATAGCCCTTTCTTATGGAGGTACTTAATGACGGCACGCTGCTCGATTTGCTCCATTCGCGGAAATTATGTCCGATTACTTTGTTAATAAATTTATAAAATCACAACTAAATATCGCACACGTTTCGAACTTCAAACAATGAACTAGTCTGAACTGAACTAAATAATGTGAGTAGATTTGATTTTTAGAATTGAATGGATCTGTGTTAGGCCGAGTACTTTTCAATCCACCCTCGTAACTACAAGTTTCATCATCATCATCATCATCATTACAGCCTTTCATAAGTCCACTGCTGAACATAGGCCTCCCCCAAGGAATGCCACAAAGCACGGTCCTGAGCCTCCTGCATCCATCGACTTCCTGCATACCTTACCAGGTCGTCACTCCATCTCGTGGGGGATCGCCCTACACTTCGCCTACCGGTACGAGGCTGCCACTCGAGAACCTTTCTTCCCCATCGGTTGTCGGTTCTTCGAGCTATATGGCCGGCCACTGCCACTTCAGCTTACTAATCCGTTGGGCTATGTCGGTTACTCTAGTTCTACTGCGGATATCCTCATTTCTAAGTTTATCACGCAGAGAAACTCCGAGCATAGCCCTCTCCAAACTACAAGTTTACAATTTTTGAATTTTACCTTTACTTGTACTTGTCTGTCAAATTTCATGCGAGTATCAAAATATGTGACAGTATGACTTGGAAAATTTAATTTTTTAATTATAATTATTTAAAAAATCTTAAACATTCTGTCTCTTTTATGTTTTAAATTCAAAATACGTGTTAATATATTATTTTAACTGATTTTAATGCGCACCACACATTCGTAAGGGCCGATCGGTAGGCGAAAATGTTGTTGCCCATAAAACACATTCAATTTGGGATAATTTGAAATAAAAGTAGACAGAAAGAAGGAAACAGCAAGTGCTTCACCACTGTTCTGGAAGGTTTCACCCCATATGTGAGTGGCATATGCTAGAAGGTACCCAGTTGATCGATTTCAGCGAAACCCGTATTGGCGATCACTGAGGAGATCATTTTGCTCTAGGTATGCCATGAGGTGGGCGTTCAATATACGCTCCATAATCTTGCAGAGTATGGAGGTAATTGAAATTGGCCGATAGTTGGCAGGGTCAGTACGGCTACCTTTTCTTTAGTCCTGAATGAGAGGCGGAACAAGCGTGTCAACATATGAGACAACTCAGGTGCACAGACCTTTAGAACAATAGCTGGTATACTATCAGGTCCACTAGCTTTGTTCACGTCTAGACTTCGCAAGGTTTTAAGAACCTCCATGTTGGTGATACGGACCTCTGCCATAGAGGTATCGCGGTGAGGTAATTGAGATGGTACGCTGTTGCTACTGTCCAGACGCGAATTGCAAGCAAAAATAGAAGCAAATAAGTCCGCTTTCTCCTTAGGTGCATGTGCCAGTGAGCCATCTCGTTTTACCAGCGGAGGCAGTGTAGACCGATAGAAGTTTGTTTCGACCGAGTTGGCGAGAGACCAAAAAGCTCTACTGCCAGAAAGTTTGACAGAGAGCTTTGTACCGATGCGTTTAATGCGGTCGAAACTGGCTTGGCGTAATGCCTTTTTGCAGGACTTGGCGGCTTGGTTAAAATCTCTCTTCTTAAGGCTAACATCCGGAGGTTTACGGTCTCGAGCATCGACCCAGGATAAGTATGCCATATGCTTGTACTTTTCAGCACGAGCGCACTCGGCGTTGAACCATGGGCGAGCTTCACCACCAATGGGCACGTCAGCAAAGGGGATGAAATACTCCATCGCTTGAAATATCACATCGGTTATGGCATCCGCGCAGCTCGACCGGTCTTCAGACGAGAATTAGACCTGCCGCCAAGGATAAGATGCAAAGAAATGCCGCATCTAATCCCAATCTGCTGACTTATGTCGCCACACTCGCCGCACACCGTGGAAATCGTAGTTACGTGGGTAACATAACGGCACAGATTTCACCAGACAGTGGTTAGAAGTTCCCAAGGGTGAGGTAGCCTGAACATCGTACCTCTCTGGATCGGTAGTCAGCAAAAGATCGAGGCAGTTGGCTATGTGCCCATCTACATCAGGTACTCTAGTCGCTTGTTGTACCAGCTCAAATATCAACGCCTCTCTCCCAGCGTGGTCGGTCTTCTGGTATGGGAATAGCCAGTCCTGATGACAGGCATTAAAGTCCCCCAGAAAAACCAACTGTGCATTGGGGTACCGATTTAGAGCCACATCAGAGGTTTCACTGAGGTGTTCAAACAGCCTAGTTGTCTCCTGGTCACCGCTGTGCGATCGGTAGACACAAGAATAAATAATTTTATCCATTCCTGTGTCTATCAATACCCAGATCGTAGAGAAAGTAGGGTCTTCAAGGTGATGGAGATGCTTACAGCAGATGTCGTTGCGGACGTAAACACAGACTCTAGCGCGCTGTTGCAAATTATGCTTCAATTTGTACCCAGGGTAGCTAAGGTACATCTGATCTGCGTCTCAGTCAAGAATAATAAGTGCGGCTTATCAGTCTCAAGGTGGTAATGGATTGCATTGAGATTACAGTGCAGGCCTCGGATGTTTGTGAGGTGCACTTTGATGGAGAGGAAGTGCAACCGCTGTACAAACTTACTCTTCTTTTTCCTTTTTTTTATTAATGGTGGGAGTGAATAGGTTGAGAGAATGGCAGTTGGACGAGGCGTCACACATATAACCTAGGAACTCAAACAGAGTCACAGCATCGATGGTACCTAGCATGGAGATCGCGGGGACGCCCGAACCTCCATGAAAATCACCACCAGGCCCTCTCCTCCGGTCGCAAATCGGCATGATGGAGCCAACTATCTACTGTCAGCCAGCGGTGCAACCGTGCTTCAGATTCCGCTAACCTCCATAACCAGGCACCTGACACTTAGAAACGGCCGCGTTCGCAACCTGTTCGTATGCGCAGTACAACTGTCCAGACCCATTCTCCCTAAGAAATGGGCTTCACCTAACATCATACCGGGACACGATTTGCATCATTTGACGGTATGTCTTTGCCAGGAGGGTGGTAACTAAGCCTTGGCCGGGACTCTCACTAGTAGAGGATCAACCTACCACCAGTATGTAGTGCTGCTCGTTTAGCACTACCCAGGGGA